TTGGAATCACCCAAATCAGGGGTCTGTAGCGTGAGATACGCTCTGTTCTTAACATGTCGTGTTGGTGGATGAATTTGGGGTTAGAATTTCCATTCCTAGTAGATCCATTCCTCCATTCCTATTGGGGATCATATCAATAGGGGTAAGGGGAATGCTTGGAACTCAGAATTACCTTCTTGGCCGCATCAAAGGATAGTACTTCGGATAGGGGTGTTGTGGATTTAGCGAGTGTACTAGTCAGACAAGTAATAAAATGATGAGTAAAGATCGTTCCCACGAGGATTTGTGTTCAAGCACCGATTAACCATATATACTTAAGTTGAATCAACCAAAAGATTATTAATTGCATTGATTTCTTGTCACCAGAAATTTAGTTGAATTGCATAAAAACTTGATAAACAAATAAAATGTGATTATAATTTAAACAAGTTCACCATAAGTATATATGGTGTACTTATATACTTATCATGGGAACACATTAACCAATTTCCATGAATGTATGGATGAACCAATTTCCATAATGAATTATCTACTATGTGATGTTGATCAACCTTTTTCTTATCATCAAGATGTAATGTCTTACTACCCTGATTGAAACATTAATCAGAAACCCCAATGTCTTGGTGATTCCCTTCTTAATACATGCATTAAATACTAGGATCTTAAGATCACATCAGAATCCTAGCATCAATGTCTTGACTACTAGAACACTGATGATAAAGTTGTCAGATACAGAAACAATGTAAACATGTATATTCTACACTATTCCCTTAATAGAAAGAATTAATCAAGACAACTTCATACAATCACATAGGAGATAAAAAAAATATCTAATTAACCATTCATAAATTTACACTTGAGTCCATTGAATCAGACTACAAAGGACTCTACTCAGACATAATTGAAATATAAACAAGAGAAGAAGAAAGATCAAACTCCATTGTCATGATAGTGAGTCTTCATTCTTCAAGTACAATTACATAGGAAATACTAACTAACACAAAAACTAAGTCCTAAAGAATTTGGAAAATAAGAGAAAGGGGAAGAGTCAGATCAGAGGATCTGAGAGAGGATAGGATATTAGCATATGAGATATGTTCAGAATGTGAAGGCCCTTGCCTTTTATAGTGTTATAAATTACAACTGAAAACTGCCATGGGCGCTAAAACGTTAATTGATGGGCATTTTAGCGTCCATGTTTGACGGATGCCCAACTGCTTTTAACTGATTCCAACGCTAAAACGTTTGACTTGGACGTTTTAGCGTTCAAGACTAGAGTCTTTTCCCACATCAGAGCGCTAAAACGTTTGATCAGGAGGTTTTAGCGCTCAAGACCAGAAACTTTTCCAACAGCAGCGCGCTAAAACGTTTGATCAGGAGGTTTTAGCGCTCAAGACCAGAAACTTTTCCAACAGCAGCGCGCTAAAACGTCAGTGTTGGAGGTTTTAGCGCTAGGCACCAGCAACTTTTGTCTTCAGTTTGCAGCAGCACGCTAAAACGTTCTGTGTGGACGTTTTAGCGCTCAACACTTGAGCATTCTCCCTTTCTTCAGAGTCTTCTTCCTTCTCTCTACTGCTCCTTGAGCTTCATTTCCCTACAAGATAATGTAAACAAAAAAGCTTTCAGAACTTGTACTTGAGGGATTTCCATGACATTAACCTCTTTTCCATCCATTTAATCACACAAATTGATATTATTTCATGTTTAAAAACCTGATGAACTAGGGGTTTATCACAATTCCCAGATTTGGACATTGTTGTCCTCAGTAATGAACTTACAACAGAGAGGGATTCAAGATTCTTTACAGATGAAACTCATGACGATGGACTTCAATTAACAAAAGATCACATTGATACAAACTTATAACCATGCAATCTCTTATTTCCTATGATTTGCCCAACATCATATGTGACTTTTCAACAAATCAGTAAAGATGATATACAGAGACTTTCAAACAACAACACCCCCTCACTAGGAACTTCTAAAAAATTGTAAGAATATACTCTCTTGCACACTAGTGTTTAAGGATGCACATATCACTCACTCCTCACTGCACTCAAACTGCCATAGGCTTGCCCATCTTCTCACTATTCATAGTAACAATGATCTATAAGGCAGATCAAAAAGGTCTTGGTGTGATTAGCAATGAGGCTTGGTATGTGGCTTGACTAGAGGTAAGGGTATGTGGCTTGACCAGAGGTAAGGATTTATGTTAAAGGGGAGGTTCAGATCAAATGAATCAGATTCAGATAATAGGGAAATCACAGTATTTATCTAATTCTTCTTAATTCCCCAATCTCTCTTTCTTTTCATTCTTTGTGATTTTCTTTGAACCTTTCTTCCTCCTTTTCTTCCTGACACTTTGTGTCTTTAACCCAAAAAATTCTTTTTCTTTTTTTTCCTTTCAGACACTTTGTGTCTTTAATACTTCCCTCTGTCTCTTCCAGACACTTTGTGTCTCATACCTTTTTCCTTCTTTTCCTTCCCTCTTTCTTATATTTCCAACACTTGTGCATTCATTTATTGTAAAACACTCTCCTTCCCACAGAACACTCCACCCACTTTTATGAAACTTTTAATCTGAAGGATTGGAATAAATGTGGTTCTTGATTTTATAAACAACAGGCTAGGCTCAAGGGTTTCATGCAATGTACACATTAAGGGTTGGCCATTTAAACTTTCTGGTTCAAGAAGGGAATGCCTCATCATTCTACCTATACATCATAAACCATTTCAAGCAAGAAACAAGGCAAGTTCTAGAGTTATTCATGCAGTGAAGTGCTCTCTGAACAAATTTTTTTGTATAGGCTCAATTTCCTCACAGTTCAGAATGCATGCTTGACTTTCTCTCTATGCATCAAAACTAATCTCTCTACTCTTACACATTGAATGAGTCATGCAATCATTTTATTTCTCAACATGCAAGGCATAAGATTGTATCCTTAATTTGATCAATCATCTAAAATTTTGATCAGTCAAATCCTCATGGAATTTCATATATATAAAAAAAACTGAAATCCAAATTCTAAATCACAACTAACATCTAAATTACACAAAAAACTTATTCACACATAAAACTTAAAGAAAATAGATTGAGATGTTTCCCTGTTTTGGCTCATCCACTCGTGTGACATCTCCATGAAGTTCGCATGCCATTCAATCACACCCCAATTCCCAGATTTGAACGTTGTTGTCCCTAGCAACTAATTTAAATCTAAAACAACAGTGGATCACTGAAACACATTCATATATAACTCAATAGCATCAGTACTATTACAATGCGCATCAAAACAGTGAATATCTCAATGTACTAAACCAATTTACAGCATAAAACTAACACAAAATGTAATCAATGTAGACCAAAATAAAACACTATAAACTGAAATGTAAAAACATCAGGAGTCTATGTCAGACTCTGAATCCTCCTCAGCTGAAATGAGGGGATCGCATCTTGGATCAGCGGTAGGTAGTGGAGTGTACTCGTCATCAGCAGCCTGGTCCTCATCCATAGCGGAAGCATCTCCAGCAGGCAGATCAGCAGCAGTCTGGGCATCTGTAGTGGCAGCAGCAATCTCTCCCTCAGCAGTCGGAGCTGCAGCGACTGAAGTACCTGCACCCATGGCAGCCATGGCATCCTCATACCTATCAGCACGCTTCTCAAAGTATGCTGTGGTAGCAGCCTCAAATTGATCCTCCTCCTCAGAATGAGGGTAATCTGCAGGCTGAAATGCAGCTGTCTCTAAGCCCTGGGCTTCACAAAGATCTGTCAACATCTTAATCATCTGGGTGTGAAAAGTACTCTGGCTCGTATGCATGAACTTGAGATGGCGGCGTAAAAATCCCAGAAGAACCTCTGTGTTCACCATCCACTGCTCCCCAGATTGCACCTTCCTTTCAAACTCAGCCTCTGCCTCAGTCATAGTTTTCCTTCCTAGTTTCAGCCCTGTGGGTCCTTCTCCTCCAATCCTCATCTTTCCCCTGATGAGCTTGACATCAATGGTAGGGTGCAATTTAACTGGCACCCCATTATCAGTAACATCAAAACCAGCTTTCTGACAGAGAAGCTGGATCAGAGAACAGTGACCCAAAGCACGTGAACTGCTATCAGAATGGGCCATGTCATATATGCTGTCCTAAAGAATAATAGGAAGCTCCACTATAACACCTCACAATTCTAAATTAAGTAATTAATACATTGAGTGAATAATTAAGTGAGGGATTAGTGAAAATCCTAAAGATTAGGCCAGAATAGAAAGAAAGGGCAAAACAGTAAATTGCCAACACGCAACCCTAGGAAGATAAAAATTGCGTAGAAGGTCTCAGATGGTAAAAATAACCTTGGAAATGGATTCAGAACGAAAAATTGAGTGGACAGGCAAGTTTCAGAAAAATCAGTGAATAGTGTTTTTCGTGGGTAAAAATATTGCGGTACGATTGCACCGTAAAACGTGCCGATTGAGTTTTGAGATCTAGATTTCAAATATGAGTTATAAATGGTCTATAGAACTAGGAAATATGATTTCTGATAATATTTGATAGAATTAAGTCAGTTTGGGGAAGCGTGCCAACGGCGCGCGCAACAGCTTAAAACAATATTTTCTCCGAACGACCGAAAAACTCCAGATTCATCTGATCAAGTATAATTAAAGGACTTTGGTGAATGTTTAATTTTTAATTTTATAAATAGGTTGTGAAATAATCGAAGACTAGTGGTGAGATTAAGTGAGTTTAAGTTAGTTTTGAGTGAGGTGGCACTTGTGGGACCCACTCCCACTTAAATGACCATTTAAGCACATGTGGAAATCAGAATTTGGAACTCATCCCCTTCATTTTTTAGCTGCAAATTCGTGGGTCTCCATGGTTAGGGTTTTGAAAACTTCAAACTATTGTAACTTGAGTTCTAGGCCACCAAATTGAGTGATTCCAAAGCCTAACTCACTTAAAATTTCGCAAGGAATCCATTTTTGTCCTTATTTTCGAGTTTGGTGCAGTGTAGAGGGAGATACTTCCCATTTTCAGTTACGAAATATTGAAGTATTTTGGGGATTTTGGTGGATTGGAAGCTCACTTTGGTTCATTGGTTGCTTGAAGATCATTCCCTTGGACCCTAGGAGTTGTTTTGTGGTGAGTTTCTCCAGTTTTCATTGAGTTTTTATTTGGATTGAATTTGTGACATAGAGTGGGTTGTTTGGATTGATGTAGTTAGAGATCTCAAATTGAAATTTTGTATTAGACAAATGTGGCTTAGAATGATGTCTTAGAGTGATTGATGTCATAAAAATTATTGAGGAAAAAAATGATTTAACTTAGGCAAATTTTGTGTTCATGAGCAAGACTTTATGAATTGGAATTTTGGTGTGATGAGATAATTGAGTTGTGGAGTAATTGTATGAGTTAATAGTAAGATTGTATGATGTATGGAGTTATTAAATTGAATTGGATACCTTTGGTATGATGACTTGATGAATTCGGCCATTGGAGGGTAGTTGAGAATTGATGTTGAAAAATCATTTGGATGATGTGTTGTGTAATTATATGGTGATTAGATGGGTTGTGTGGTGGTTGGAAAATGTTAGAATCAATGGAAAATACTAACTTGTGTTTAGGGACATAAATGAACCTAGAGTGAATTATTTAGCAAAACAATGAGTAATAGACGTAAAACGGAAAAACAGAACTTGAATTGGCCTCTTGGCAACCTAAGGAAGCATAATAAAATGAGAAAGAAAATTTAGAAAAATAAATCCTAAAATAACACTACAAGGGCCAAACCATCATGGTGATGGGAAGGATTTTTGTGTTTTTCGTGTTTTGACGTAAATTGACGTATACTGACGGCTGTACATGGTTGTATAGGTTGTCGTACGTCGAATTGAATCCTGAACAGTGAATCAGTGAATTGCCCTTGGTCCTGGACCAAGTGGATTGAGGTAAGTGATTGTATTATGCATGTGAAATTGAGATTTGGCATGCATTTTGTGAACTTTGAGTAATTGGGAACGTCCTATGTGTAGGCGTTCTGTTGAGTAGCAGACTTGGAACTTAAGCTGCTGCGGAGCTAAGTGAGAAAACTTTTTAAGGTAACCTCTTGGTACTGGGGCTTGTTCCCCTTTTCTGTTCCACCTTGCCAGTTGATGGCAACGGTAGGAAGTGTATATGAGTAGTGTAGAACACATGAGCATGCATGCATTATAACAATGGGTACTTATGTACCGAGTCTCTGGCCAGTAGACAATTTTCTTAGCCTTCAGGCAGTTTCGGACTTCCACTGGATAGGTCTCCAGGAGGGAGTTCCAGTTGACCGTGGGTCATGGTGTGTGATCCGGGTAGGAGCACACTAGGAATGTCTTTGGCGTTTTGGATGGTTTGGGCATCATGGTTGTGGTTATTTTTAACGCACCTTGGATGATACCCATAGGCTTATATATGCCCAGGGCGTACATGGAATTGGGGCTACCATCCCGTATCGTCGTAGTTTGTATCTCTATATTCCCCATTTCTCTAAAACCCTTGCTATATCCCGTTTTAAAAATTGGTTGTTGTATTCTATTCATATGCATCGAAGTGAACCATTGGGCGGAGTTTTCTCCAGAACCTCTGGGTTACTGAGATATATTTGTATATCTCACCCCGTCTCGAGGCATTTATTTCAGGATGTACTAGTGGTGTTGGTGCAGCGGGCAAGAGGCCCGCAGAGTGATAGAGGGACATTTTCAGTATTTGGCATATTGTTCATGTTGGCATGCCTAAGTCTAATAGTTTGTATCATTTGAAATTATGTTTAAATTTGTAATTGAAGTTGTAATATTGTAAAGGGTAATTTGAAGTTGAAGTCGTAAGTTGTAATATTTAAGTATATGTTGTAAATGTAAAAGAGATGCATGATGTACTAAGATGGAAGGATTTTAGGCCTATGTTAGAGTTATGGTTATATGCTTATATTGTGAAACTACATGTAAATGGGACCTTTTGTGATTGAAACAAGTAAGGAATATAATGTGAACTCTATAGTATAAACTGTGTAATAAATATAAACTGGATTGGGTTGTAAGTGCCCCAAGGCGTTGTTGGTCCTTGTGTGTGCCACCCATTGGATTATTACTGTATTATTGTTGGATTATTAGGTACTTTGAGGCATTAGTGAGCTTGTACAAATTTGGGGATTATTGGAAAAACAAAGGAAACTCTGACGAATTTTCTGTAGAATTGGCAGATTTTAGGTGAACTTCGGGAGAGCATATCTCCCTCTATAGATGTCCGATAGGGACGTACCATATGCCATTTTGAAGCTTGAGATGTCCCCTATATGGTGTTAAAATATGAGCCAGTTATGGATTTCACGCAGCCCTGTGGAATTTATTGAGTTCGGACTGTCCAGGGACCTCTGATAAAGGGGCTGTTCTGGCCAGTTTTTGGGAATTTGATTCCTGCTTCGCCTCTTAGTCGAATTGAGCGTGTGTTACACCAAAATGAAGTTTGAGATATCTAGTTTGTAGGATAAAAATTTGAGAGCAATTGGACGAGTGGATTGGGTGCAGTAATTCGAGAAGTGTGAGTGGTTTAGAGCTATTTTGGGGTTGGTTGGCTATTTTGCTTATCCAACTTCAAACGGCGATAACCGGAGCAAATGAGCTCCGAATTGAGCGTGTGATAGCTTGTTGAAAAGGGAATTAAGTAAGACAAAGATATAATCTGAGATGAAGGTTTGATTGCGAGCGGTGTGTTCGCAGAAAATTTAGGAGTGAACCATGTTCGAATAGGTAAAAACGTAATGTTTGGAAATTGGCTAAGTGGGTGTATGGGAACCCCTTAGTAACTTATAATAAGTATATTGTGATGTAAAAATAGATAACAATAAATATTCCGCAAGAGTTAACAGTTATAGTCACAACTTTTAATTATTACGCGTTTTATTGTTTTAAATGCTCGCGTAATAATCGGAAAAAGTTTATTCGTATTTTTATAAATGAATTGCTGTGATTGTAACTGCGCTTAATATCATAATTTATGTTAACAATACCGGTACGTAACGGGCTGTTACATCCACTGTCTTCTTGGTTATAATAGTGTAGATCAGGACAACCCTCATCAAAATCACTTCCGCCTGGTTGGAGGAAGGCATAACATTGGAGACCACAAAATGGAACCAGACCCTGGCCTCTCCATTCAGTTGCCTCAACCAAAGCAATTTAGGATTTACCTTATCCTTTGTCATTTCCCACTTCTCATTTGGCTTAGAAATGGTGTGCAACACAGGCTCAGCTGCCCCCAGTTTGGTCCAATTCTCAAATTCAGGGTCATGTCTCCTTGGGGGAATGTCAATATTCTGCCAATTTCTTCTGAACTCACAGCTGGTGTTATGAATGTGATCACAGTGTTGGATTTCAGAAGCTTCTGAATAGTATGGGCATCATATTTTACTTTCTTGCCTCTCACCCAACTAACAAAATGCTTCTGCCCACCCTCATCACCATTGTAGGCTTTAGTATAGAATTCTCGTGCTATGGCCGGGCTGTTGTCAACCAGAATCTCACCGAAAGTCACCCATTCTCTCTTCTGCAACTGGGACTGGAATTCTGGGTACTCATCCTTGTCCAGGATGAATTTCCTTTCCCGAACGAATGGCCTGGAAGAGGTCTTGGTATTGAAACGGACCTCGTGATCAGAACTCTTCCAGAAATGGGCATCATATGTAGGTGGAGGTGGTGTAGGCTCAGATGCCTGCGTCAACCTGGACCTCTTCTTTCCTGTTTTCTTGGGTGAAGGTGTAGACATGATCCTGAAAAATCAGAGAAGTAGTCAGTATAGCATTTGAACATGTGGATCCAATTCCTAGATTTGAATTGAAGAAGTGGTTCAATTAGATCCCAATCATGTAAGTAAACACCCCCCCCCCCACAATGCCTAAATCAGCAGCCTAAATCATGTATGCAGCAGGGCCTGGGCGCTAAAACGATCACACTGAGCGTTTTAGCGTCCTGGCTTTGTGCGTGTGTTCAACTGGTCGAGCGCTAAAACGTAGGGTGACCAGTGTTTTAGTGCCCTGGCTTTTCTGGGTCAGGCATTTTGGCAAACACCGTGTGTGCGTGTCTGAAAGATCATGTGTGTAAAACGATTGGGGATACCCCCATCCCCAAAAATTAGTAAGAACAGCAAGATCACAAATGCATGAACATATATTTACAAATAAAAACATTAATCACCTAGGTAGTTCATGGAATCAAGATTGAGAAAACCCTAGATGAGATGAAATAAATACAAAAATGATAAAAAGATGGAATAGAAGAGATGATTATACATACTTTGTGGTGAACGAGGGTGAGTGAATGGAGAAATGAAATTCAGAAGAATTCGCAAGTTGGAGAGAAAATGGAGAGAATGATTGAATGCAAAAAGATAGTGGGGGGAGAAGTGAGGGAAACCGTGTAAATCAAATAAGTGACGCATCGCTAAAACGTTGAAACCAAACATTTTAGTGCCCAGGACCAGAAAAATGTGCACTCGTTGTGTGCAGCACTGCGCTAAAACGGTCACCTTGGACGTTTTAGCGCTCTGGGCCAGAGTGCTTGCAATCTGATGCATAAAGGAACGCTAAAACGGTCAGTCTGAACGTTTAAGCACTCTGGGCCAAAGTTTTTGCATTGTGATGCAACTCTAGTCCGCTAAAACGTCCAGAATGGAATTTTAGCGCCCAGCACTTGTCAAAAAAAAAAATTCTTCTTAAAATTTTCTAAAACTTTTCCTCCTTCTATTCTTTTTTTTTTTTATATATGTATTTAACACTAATATGACATACCTGATACAGTGGGTTGCCTCCCACTCAGCACGTGTTTAACGTCACGAGCCTGACGGTTCTTATTCTATTTTACCTCCAACAGGGCAACTGAAATAAGTTGCCTGTCCACAGCACATCCAATGTAAAGTTTCAACCTCTGACTGTTGACAGTAAAACTTCGGTCAGAGTCCCAAGAACAAATTTCTACCACTCCATAAGACTTCATGCTCTTAACCACAAATGGTCCAGGCCATCTGGATTTCAGCTTCCTTGGAAACAATTTCAACCTGGAGTTGAATAACAACACTTGATCTCCCACTTTGAAATCCCTGGGTGTAATCTTCCTGTCATGCCATAGCTTGGTCTTTTCCTTGTATAGGCTGGCACTCTCATATGCAGACAGACGAAATTCATCCAGTTCATCCAATTGCAGTAGTCTTTTTTCACCTGCTGCTTTGGAGTCAAAGTTCAAAAACTTGACAGCCCACAATGCTCTATTCTCCAAATCCACAGGCAAATGACATGCTTTCCCAAACAACAACTGAAATGGAGACATTCCTATAGGAGTCTTGAATGCTGCTATAAGCCCACAAGGTGTCATCAAGTTTCTTGGACCATTGAGTCCTAGCATTCCCAACAGTTTTCTCCAGAATTCTTTTAAGTTCCCTGTTGGAAATCTCAACCTGACCACAAGTCTGTGGATGGTACGGAGTACTTATCTTGTGCCTGACTCCATACTTTGCAAGGACAAACTCAACCAGCCTGTTATCAAAGTGTGTTCCCCTATCACTGATTATGGCTCTCGGGACTCCAAATCTCACAAAAATGTTCACAACCCGTGAATCATTGGTCTGTGTGGCTATGGCTTCGACCCACTTCGACACATAATCAACTGCCACCAGGATATACTTGTTAGAGTAGGAAGAGGGAAAGGGTCCCATGAAATCCATACCCCAGACATAAAAGATCTCCACCTCCAGTATATTATTCAAAGGCATTTCATGTCTCCTGGAGATGTTCCCAGTCCTCTGGCAGTTGTCACATGCTTCCACATATTTCCTGGCATCCTTGTACAATGTGGGCCAATAGAAGCCACTCATCAAAACTTTGGTTGTTGTTCTCTCACCTGTAAAATGGCCACCATAAGCTGAACCATGACAATGCCATAAAACACTCTTTTGCTCCTCTTCTGGAATACATCTTCTTATTACTCCATCTGAACATCTATAGAAAAAGTATTGTTCATCCCAGATGTATCTCCTCACATCATGCATAAATTTCTTCCTCTGTTGGTAAGTGAAATCCTTTGGCATGGCTCCAGCAGCTTTGTAGTTAGCAAAATCAGCAAACCA